GCTTTGACTTGCACTGATTGGAGTGTTTTTGACGGCTGCAGCCACAAACCTGGATGAACTCCACCGTCCACACTGTGACATCTTATATCAGTTTTTTTGAGGACACTCTGTGTGCCAGCAAAACTTTCTGCAAAATAATACCAGCAACAAACAACAAACACGCTGCTTACAGCTAAAACTCAGAGCAAGCTTCATCCAGCAGGCAAGGAGGAGGCTGTGAAGAAGGGACAGAATCCTGTACACCCAGCAACAGGCACCACACGGCCTGAAACACTGACAGCAAGGAGAGATCAGAGTAGCAAAGGGGAGCTTTGGGGGGGGTTGGGGGGGGGGCGGGGGGGTTTGGAAGGTCTCCAGTGAACAAGGTCTTCGGTCAGGTGTGGAAAAAACCTGCAGGAAGGACACAACAGCGGCTACAAGGAAACCAATTACCCCTCATTGTGGGAAACCCAAATCCAAAAAAAAATCCTTAAATGTAATTCTACCAAAGGTTTATAAACCAACATATACATCACTCGGTTCTGCTGGATTCATCTCTCTGAAAATTTTGTACACATATAAGTCTTGGTGAGGACTCTGACTAAAGATGTTCAATGTGGGTCTTTCCATGCACATAAACTGGAAAGCAAAATGATTTGTTGGGGCTGGGGCTGTCACTGAAGTCAGTGTGCCCAACCACTTCCTGATATATATGTGCACATCATAAGCCTGTTGAAAGCCAAAAGAACTGGGTTGAACGAAAGCCAGTCCTCCCCATTCCATGCCTTGAGTGGTGGTCAGTTGGTTTAGCGCGGCCAGCTGCGGAGCCACACCGCTCCGGGGGCGGGCGGGAGGGGATGCCACGAAAAACGCGGCTCGCACAATCTGCGCACCAGACGAAGTCTACAAATCGAAAATCTTCAATTTCTGGAGAAACACAAACCCACCGTCCACTCCTGGACATTTGCTGTCTGGCTTTCCAGTCTCTAGTGGCACCAGATAAGTGAATCCAAAGAAGGGCGGCAGTGCGGTAAGCTCAGTCGCCGCGCGCGGCAGTAGCTCGCGACACTTACCAAGTGTGTGGGGCGCTGTAGAAGTGGACAGTCTAGTAACATGCTTAATGGGAAATGAAATGATGCAGAACACACAGAGAGAGAGGAAGAAGAGGGGGGGCTCAGCGTCAGTGCACCATGGGAAAATCCCCGATAGTTAGCAACTACTATAGCGGCATAATAACAACAGAAGCAGATGGTTCAGGACTCACCGCTGATCCAGCCCTAAAAACTATCAAGGCTTTATCAGAGAGGAATGTCTTAAGCCTACCTCTTAAATGTGGAGAGGGTGTATGCCTCGAAACACCACCAACGGAAGCCTTGTTCCACAAGCAGAGGAGCCTTGGTAACTGAAGGCTCTGGCCCTCATGTTCTGGCTTTTCAGAGACTATAGGAACCACCAAGCTAGCCACCAATTCAGAGACGTAGTCCTTCTAAAGGGGTCAATAGGGTGCTATGAGCCTCTTTGAGATATGGAAGGGGCCCTGACCATGAAGAGCTTGTAGGTGCAGGAGGAGAATTTTAAATCCCTATTCTAAATAGGCCTGTAGTTCCAGCTTTGCCTCGTCGTTCCTCACAGTCTTGAAGACAGACTTAGTAGATTTTAGTTTCTACCTGTAAGTCAGGAGAAGATGAACCAGACAATAATTGGACAGTCCCAGTCCTTTAATATAGTGTAGAAATAGTCCAATGTGTTTTTATCCCTGGTGGGACACAATGTGCTTTCTGTATATTTGCGACTGAGGTTTGCTCTGTTAACCAAGAACAATGAGCAGGTAGACTCTGGGTGTTTGTGCTTCTTGGAAGTTAACCTTGTGGTCAGCCAGGTGTTGTAATGCCTCACTAACACTGGCCTGAGGTGAGATGTAACAAATAATAAATAATAAATGAGGAAAACTGCAGTTCAATGAAAATTGAGGCTAAGAACCTCTGTACAGCTAAGAATTGTACAGCTGGTGATACTGTGGGGTTGTCCCTACTAGTGACTACTTTGACCTTACACATCTGATCTATTTTTACATAAAAATATCGATAACTTTACCTTTATGACCTAAACATGGCTTTGTGAAATTACCATTAAAGTTACTGGTAGCTTTCATATGTAGTCTCCATATTGGCCGTTGATCCAGCATTTATTTGAATCTTTATATTTGTTACATCTTTAGGGATGCAGTCCATGTTTTCACACCAAATAGTTAATTGACCTCCAAAACTAAAAGGCTAGTTGAAATAAGATATTTATGACATTCAATTAGCAGTCATGCAGACCTGTGATTAAATTCTAATCTCCATCTGGGTATTGTAAACTCCTGGACACTATAACTCAGTTAGACTATTTTTCTGACTCAACTATCCTTCTGTCCAGGCAGAGCTGCCTGCTTTCCGAGACTACAGCGTCTGATCAGCTGGATGTAGGAGCAACATTAAGTGGATCTGACACCTGTTTGGAAGGATATGGGAATAAACAGATATAGACTGCTACAGCTGTACATGGAAAATGCACAGCAGGGTGGACGGGAGGGGAAAGAACAAGAGAGAGAAAGGAAAGAAATATGGTGAAACAGGAATGAATGAGTTGAGCAAAGGAAAAATTATTTGGAAAAGAGATGATGGAAGAAATTATGAAGTTGTACCCCTACATGGCAAGTCAAGAGGCTAAATAGGTACGCACTAATCCACTGCAGGATTATAAACTGCTCTTATAATGCAATTGCAAGTTACCCATTAGGGTTGGGCGATATATTAAATTTTTTTTTCAAACGGCCACCATCAGCCCAGCAACTGGTGAAAGACGCCGATATATTCGTCCAATCACCAAACCCAATTATTCATGTTAACTTTCAAATATCTGTCTGTGTTGTCAACAAATGACCCCAGCCAGCTCTCACCCAATGTAAGCTGGGATAGGCTCTGGTCTTTTAACAGGATAAGTGGGATTGATGGTTTGATGGATGGATAAATAGATAAACCAACAAACTGCGCAAGAAACTTAAGACATTGACTCATCAACTGGCATCTGCTAGAATTCTGAATAGATGAATATGAACACAATTCTATAGTTTTCACAGAAAATCTAAAAGTAAGGGATGAGCGAGTGCACTATTATTGGTAGCCGTATACATACTTGTAATGGGCAGTATTTAAACCAGATGTAGGTAGGACAGGAAATTGTTCATTTGAGCCTGAAATCGATATGGGTTGATCAGAAGTTGCTATATTTATTAGAAAACAATTTATAGAACAGCCTCAGAATTGAGCTGCAGAGCAAAGTTTTATTTTGTTTTTTGTTTAAATAAAAGTTTTTTATTTTATTATTTATTGTTTGTTTAGAAAACGGATATTGACAATTTTACTCAGATTTTTACTAAAAGTGTATTCACAGCAGAGGACTCATTCAACTCTAATACAAGTGTTGACCTGCTGGTGGCACTAGAGAAAAGTCAGAGAATCAATCTATCCTGTGGGCACCATGAATGTCTGCTTAAATGTATCCATCCAACAGTTTTTGATGTATGCATGATCCTACAGCCACGTTAATATTTATTGGTGCAGCTTTAAAGGACCAGTGGCATTTAGTGGCATCTAGCTGTGAAGTTGCAGACTGCGACAATTTGAATACAGCGCAGCCTTCCAAGCGAGCAGGAGACATTACAATGGCCGCAAAACTCACAAAAAAACCCAAAGACAGCTGCACATGTCGGGTAGTATTTCCTAACAATTACTCCAGACACAAAAGTTGCTCTGGGCACTTCTTAGTGTGAACGTGTGCAACTGTAAGTGTTGCTGCTCCAACAATATTGCATAGAGTTAAAGTTATCTCGCCAACGTATTTTGTTCTAAAGCCCTTTCAAGTATCACAGCTCCAGCCTTGTATAGCCTGGTATCTATATGTGAGTGACGTGAAATATTCCAGAGACTAGTATCAAATATCTTGTTATCTCCTCCTGAGAGGCTGTTAATAAGCTGCAAGAGACATACTACAGTCGTGTCATCCACATGAGCTTTCCACCAGCACACCACCATCCATAGCACAGCTGTACAGCGACACACACACACACACACACACACACACAAACAAACAAAGGCTGCTGAGCTACCACGAGCAACAGAAAAACCTGAGACCGCTGTGACACGCTTTAATTTGCCTGCATGCCGTCTCACTCTCACTCTGACTGCTGCTGGCAGCGTCCCTCTCCTCGAGGAAGGGGATCCCTTTCCAGCAGATGTTGATCCTAACTACTTCTGTCCTCGGATAGGACGCCTCATGACAGTGGTGGTGGTGGTAGGGAGGGCAGATCAGGTTTATAATAAACCACCTCAAGAACAAAAGGCCACTTTATCCGCGCCCTCCTCCCTCTCCTCACAGCAAGAGGAGACAGGATAGGATCTGACAGCAGACATGAGTAGTCATTTAAACAAAAGGATCCCTTTTACCCCCGCTCCCCCTCCCTAGAATTACAGCAGGTAATAATAGCTAATCCTAAATTAGGAATGTGTCATGTTGTGCCAGACTCTGCCTTGTTGGGACTGAAGCATGAGTTGGAGAACAAACCTGCCTTACTGACAGACTGAGGAAGGAGTGATTAGACATGAGACTCCACCGAGTCATAAACAGGACAGGGATAATGCTATGTCCCAGTTCAGGGGCCATCTCCTTTGTCCCCATTTCAAGACTGACTACGACAAAATGCCTGTCACATTTTGAAGGTTCTGGAAAAATGTGGCGGAGAGTTTGTCAGAATATGAAATGAATTTCAATATACCTCTCATTCTTACTTGACAATTGTTTTTTGTTTATTTGTATTAGCAGGTAGATGCACTCCATCAAATCAAGCACATCTAATCAAGCTCTTCCAATTTAACAAGTGTAAGTTGCTCTACGTGAAAATATGGTGAAAGAAAATGCTTTGTAGGAACAACAAAATCCGTCAGAAAGATAGTGTGGGAGAATAGATACATTTATCTACCCTCAGTTCTGACAAAAACGTTGATAGGAGTCAACACACATTGCAAGCAAATGTAATACATCAAAGTTGTACAACCACCTGAAAAGTAAATACATAAATAAAAATATTTTTAAAAACATCAATATGATAAAGCTATTAGAGGTGTACTGAGGTGTAAATTCATAGTTTGATATATATCTCGGTGTTGGGGTCATGGTTTGGATCTCGTTACAAAACATTTTTGAAAATAACTTTTTTCATAATAAAATAATAAAAAAAAAATATATA